GAAGAGATCCGAATTTGAAATATTTTTAAAAACAAGAGTAAGTCTGGATTCTTACTAGGAAGCTAAATAGGGATCCTATACAGCTGCAGGAGCAGTTCAGCATAGGTCAAAAGATGGAGTAGAAAGGGAGATAGATAAAGAGGAGATTCCACACAGGTACAGTTTTAGTGCAGCTCAAAAGAAAACCATGAATCAGGTCTCTGGGACTGGAGTTCAAATTTCACCTCTGCTTCTCACCATGAGGGTACATAATCCTATTTCTAAACAAGAAAGACTCTTATTTTTTTCCTAGATTTTTGCCTTTGTTCATGTTGACTCCATTAATATCATAGCTGATTTAAACCCTTCCAAATACAGAGGCACCAGACTTCTCTCCTGCCCTTGGCTTCTTGCCCCTTAGCTGTCCCTCATCCATCTACCCCTAGCTGACAGCCCACAGCTTCTCCATCCTTACCTCGCCGGGCAATTCCAATAAGTGATGCTCAGAAGAGGCTGCCCAGAAACTTTTCCTCATGACTTCTATTAGTGGTAACCCTTTACATGACTTAATTCCAGGATTTCTCTAGTATAATACAGAAGTAACCATTAATCACACACCCCCAGGAATTTTGTAAAATTCAGATTCTTGAGCCCTATTTCAAACCTCTTGTGTTAGGATCTCCAGGTATGGGACCTGGAAATCCAAATTTGAGTGAAAGTCTCTGCTGAATGTGTGCACCACCTTAAAAGTCACTGCTTTATCATTCACAAGAGATTTTTGCTTTAAATATCCAGATGACTTGATGCCTTTGGGCCTCTCTTTTAGATTCTGACACTGTCTTGATAGATGACCACACTTGAGATAATTTCTTCTCTATCTAGCCACCTGTTTATAAGTGGGATTAATCAATAGGAGTTAATAAATGTTGACTTATTTAATCCTCATGCTACCACCATGAAGTAGCTACTATTAATAGCCCCATTTAATTGATAAGGAAACTGCTGGCCAGAAAAGTTAAATGACTCAACCAATGCCATGCAATAATGAGGTTACATTTTAAGAAGTTTGCTTTTCTTTTTTTTTTTTTAATTTAAATGTTATTTATTTACATTCATTCACTGTACATCATTACAGCATACAAAATGAGATTTTCCATCCTGAGTACACTCTATATTGTCTCAATCAAGTACATCAATATAAGAAGTCTGCTTTTCTTGGGAAGGTCAAAATAGCTCCTGAAACATTATATCGTCAGTCTCCAAAAATAGAAATAATTCGCAATAGCAACAGATTGTTTTTCAGCTCTTCAAAGCACCCTCTCCAGTTGCATGTCACCATTTCTTTTTTTTTTTTTTTTTTTTTGAGAGGGTGTTTTTTCACTATAGGGCGCGTGCGCTCGCCAGACAGACAGAGAGAGACATAGAGACAGAAAGCGAGAAATCACCCCCCAGGGGGGATGGTCACGCCGCAATCCCTTCTCCTCCATTCTCCTCCCGGGATCTTGGGCACGCACGCACACGCGCCCGGCGTGAGTTTTAAGCCACCGGGTCCGGGACACGAACCGCGGTCGACTACGTGGGAGTCCAGCGACATAGCCATTACGCTAACTGCTGGTTCCCGCATGTCACCATTTCTAAAGAAACCATCTAAGGAGTTTTTCTGCCATTAACACTGACCCTTCTTTTCATCCAGAAATGCATAGGAAAGTGAGTTTTAGAATTAGAAAGGTATTTTGATGTCAGCTAATAGACTGTTTTATATAATAGATAATCTGGGGCCAAGACAGAAAGGTGACTGATTCATGATCACACAGTCAGTGAGCTCTCTCCTACATCTTATTCCCCATCAAGTCTATAATGGACATTTGCAATGGACAGTGAGGTCTAATAGAAATGAGGCTAGAGCATAAGACAGAAACCTTGGGTTCTGGGTCTCAGGAGCATCATTTGGCTTCTCTGTGCCTGGATGCTAGGCACTAACCATGGACCCTTCAAATATGAATATCATTAGTTTCTCTCAAAAGCTTTGATGTGACTCACCTTATCATGTCTAGTCTTTTACATCTATGAATAGGAAATAGCACCAGAAATAAAGCATTCCAACCCCACCCATGCCTGGGTATTCTTTTTTTTTAAGAATTAGCTTTATTTATTTGTTTTTATTTGACCAGAGAGGGACAGAGAAAGAGAAAGAAAGTGAGAAGGCAAGCCACCAGGTCCAGGACTTGAACCACGGTTGGCCATGTGGGAGTCCAGTGCCCTTAGCCACCATGCCACTTGCCAGTCCTATCCCTGTGTCTTTTAAAGACAATTAGATGGGGAACCAGCAGGTGGCGTGGTGGTTAAGGCATTGGACACTCCCACATGGCTGACCACGGTTCAAGTCCTAGACCTGGTGGCTTGCTTTCTTACTTTCCCTCTTTCTCTCTCTCTGAGTGTACCTCTCTGATCAAATTAA